CAACGGATCGCAACCCTCGGTGTTGCGCCCGCACCTCGCTCAGCCAGTGAGCGGCCGGTCTCTCTGTATGTGGGATCCGAACCCTGGGCGGGAGTGCCGCCACGCTCCCAAGCGGCGCACTGTAGCAGTGCGCCACCGGGCCGGCCCTGCCCTTTGCAGCTCTTAAGCCTTCTCCTATCCTACTTGGCTGACCGCCATCTGGTTGCCATCTTACCACTGTGCATCCAGATACCTACATTTCAATATCACCCCTTCTCAAAGTCTGGATTGGAGAGAGGGAAAGCCAAAGGGAGAAAGCAGTTGCTTCCCCCTGCAGCGTAAGACCAGCCTTCGGAATTCTGGTTTCCCATCTTACCATGCCCTGCCTCTTCCCGTGATGACTGAGACTGGAACTGTTTGCTGCCCACAGGGCTATTGTCTTATCCTACAGGACACATCAGTGTTCTCATCTCAGTTTACTGCAGTAAACTCTACTTCCCCTTGCCCCATACAAGAAACTGATTTGTACAATGGCCATTCAATAGTCATTGGCTATAAAAGTAGAGAGACTGCTGGAGTCTGTTACATCTTCTGGGAGTCACTTCTACAAGTCCCCAAACTCTAGTCTAGCTAAGAAAGTTCAGCAGGTTGTGACAGTTAAAACTCAGAAGTGATTCCATGGTAAACAAGAATGCCTATCAGTTTATATTTTTAGAAATATATAGGCTTAGTAATTTGAATAATTTGCATATACAGCAATCACCTTCTATTCAGATCAAAGAACAGAAAATTAGTTTTGCTAAACAAGAGCTTAAATACACAGCAAGCAATACTGGTGAACGAGGGGTTCCACAGAAGTAAATTTTCTGGCTAATAAAAATTTTACCCACTAAGCATTAGCTTAATTTTTACTGACAGGGAAGATAACTTTGAAAAATGTATCCCACACTTGACTTCTTTGGGGATTTTGATGACTGCTATCCCCTTTCTCCTTTTCTCTCTACTCCTTTGGCTTTCATATATCTTCATTCTCTTCAGGTTTTATCTTTGGTTTCCCCCTGACTGCTTTACACACTGGCATTTCTTGGGGTCCTATCCAGTGCCCTCACATTACTACACTGTCTTCTTGAGCAATGATACTTGTTTAAGTGCACACCATAGTTATACACTTGGTTTAATCTATGCTATCACTACACACTATACACTGATGACTCTTAAATACACATTTTCAGCCTGGACTTTTCTTGAGTTTCCAACCTACATATCCAATTTACAACTCAACTCCATAGCTCGGACAAAAAGTGGCATCACCTCTTAAATTGTGATCCAGTTAAACTCATTACCTTCAAATCTGCCCTTCCTCTATCCTAGTTCTTCCAGTCACCCAAGAAGTCCAGAGTCCATAGCTCGGACAAAAAGTGGCATCACCTCTTAAATTGTGATCCAGTTAAACTCATTACCTCCAAATCTGCCCTTCCTCTATCCTAGTTCTTCCAGTCACCCAAGAAGTCCAGAGCCTTTCAGTCCCTACATATCCCTCTCATCTCACACTGTCAGTTTACAAACATGCTAAATATCTCTTGAATCCAACCCGTTATCCTATTCCCAATGTCACTGTCCTTGTTCTTAGCTGTTACTTGCAACAGAATCTTACTAGAAGCTCTGCCTCCATTCAGACCTTATTACCACTAGAGAAGTACTTTTTAAGTGCAAATTGGAAGTCATTTTTATGTTCTAAACCTTTCAATGACTAATATTTGTGTTATAAATAAGACAAAGTCCAGTCTTTTTTATTTTTTTACATGCATACAGAGGCCTCCATACTCAGACTCCTGGCTATACTCCCTAATTTTCTACTATCCTACATGCCATTTATTCATATTTACTCAATATTCTGGGAACATACTATGCTGTTTCATATTTTTTGTCCTAACTTACACTATTTTCTCTGGAATATTCTTACGTGTCCTTACCCACATACCTTATCCTTTTATTTACCTTGAAAACACCTATTCATCTTTGGGGACCCAATTTAAGCGTCCTTCCTCCATGAAGCCTTCTCTGATCATCCTAAGTAGCATCATTCACTCTTCTGAATTAGATACACCTCTGTAACACTTACCATATTCTAATGCAATTACTTGTTTACAACTCTGTCTCCATTACATTAGGTTCATTGGCTGAAGGGATCATGTCTTATCTTTGTATTCCCTCTCCCCAGTCCCAAGCAATAGTGGGGTATTTAGTAAATATCTGATGGCCGGTTGTCTGGATGAACAGTTAAGGGTAGCTCTAATACCTCCTCTTTGGAATGAAATAGATAGACTTTGTGATTGCTATATTACTCTGAATGCCTTTTTTGTTTACTTCCAGGTTTTGGCTATGTACTTCATGTTTGACATTGCCAAGAGTCTGATGTTTGGATAAGCAGATTGTCTGCACCATGTAACTTTACAGCATATTCAATTGCAACTATGGCCAAAAACGACTGAAACACACTTTTCCATTAAGAGCTGTGTGTACCTTTGAATAAATTAGGTTACATGTGTCCCCTAATCAAGATGTTACTTTCTCCTGACTATATGTCTTCAAAATTCTCTGCCTCCCTCCTTCTCTACTCCCAATACTTTATCTGTTTCAAATTCTTTTTGGAACAGAGGTTTATAAAATATACATGTCATGTCCACTTTGTTCATATTGATACCACTATTTTATTCCACATTAAAACACGCACCCACACTGTATTTATCTTTTCATTCTTACAATTTATCTCAGTTAAGTTTTTGCACTGATTTAATTGCCATAGGTTTTAGCTAAAGCAAATCTAAGTATTTTTCTGATTTCACATTAAGCAAATCTTAAGTAAACTACATTGAAATTGTGGCTGTGAGAGACTGCCAGATTTCCAATCTGCTGACACAAAACTTAACTCATCTGTCTCCTTCACTTCCTGGTCCACAATCTCTGCTTTCCATAGATCCTTCCCAATTAGTAAGATTTAAAATTCGTTTTCCTGAGACAAAATTAGTGTTTTCTTAAGCTTCGGGTACTGATCGCAGAATCAAGCATTAAATAATTGGTATGATACTAAAAATACAACACACGTTTTGTATTCCTCTTGAAAATTATGAAATTACATTACCTGATTAGACTGTGATAATCTTAGGATGGTAGGGAATTCATCTTTAAACTCATCTATGAGGTCCATGATTGCTTTCTGGATCCCCTCAACTAAACGAAAGAGGTTAGGGGGAAAAAGTTAGAAACATTCCCTGAATGATTCAAAAAGAACATAGAACTCTGGGCCCACCCCCCGGTGACCTGGAAAGCAAGGGAACCTAAGGGGATATTTTTCCCAGTTGTTCCCACACCCATATCCCCTTTACAACAAGATGGTGTATACTTTTTCCAGAAAAGTTCTTCAACACCTGCCCACATATCCACCCAATAGGTTTGATTGACATGATGAGTTCTTGCTTGGCTTCCTAGTGTTTAGCAAGTTTGCAAGCCTGGGCGATTCTTGTCCTACTCTGCCATTAGTAAGGGATGTGGGCAGCCTTCCACTCAGGAAAGCGGAGGAGAACAGAACCTGCAGCTCACTGCCGGAACTCTTTGTTACTGCACAATGGGCCTCTGAGAACTCATTACAGAAGCTTCTGAAGTCACTCTGGCAGTGGGAGGAACAAGAATGTTTGGAGGCATAAGAGGAGTGAGGGGGATTGAAAAATAAACCACACTAAGGAGTTCTACAATATAAGAAGAATTTTGTCCCAAATTCGGTAGTGATGCTTCAATCAATGGATCATCTGAGAACAAAGCTCCCTCTGAAAAGAGTTAATACATTAACTGCTGGCATTTACTTAAAAAATAAATACTTTGCATATCATGCCAAATGGAAAAGAAACACCAGCAGTTAATTCATGANAAAAAGTTAGAAACATTCCCTGAATGATTCAAAAAGAACATAGAACTCTGGGCCCACCCCCTGGTGACCTGGAAAGCAAGGGAATCTGAGGGGATATTTTTCCCAGTTGTTCCCACACCCATATCCCCTTTACAACAAGATGATGTATACTTTTTCCAGAAAAGTTCTTCAACACCTGCCCACATATCCACCCAATAGGTTTGATTGGCATGATGAGTTCTTGCTTGGCTTCCTAGTGTTTAGCAAGTTTGCAAGCCTGGGCAATTCTTGTCCTACTCTGCCATTAGTAAGGGATGTGGGCAGCCTTCCACTCAGGAAAGCGGAGGAGAACAGAACCTGCAGCTCACTGCCGGAACTCTTTGTTACTGCACAATGGGCCTCTGAGAACTCATTACAGAAGCTTCTGAAGTCACTCTGGCAGTGGGAGGAATAAGAATGTTTGGAGGCATAAGAGGAGGAGTGAGGGGGATTGAAAAATAAACCACACTAAGGAGTTCTGCAATATAAGAAGAATTTTGTCCCAAATTCGGTAGTGATGCTTCAATCAATGGATCATCTGAGAACAAAGCTCCCTCTGAAAAGAGTTAATACATCAACTGCTGGCATTTACTTTAAAAATAAATACTTTGCATATCATGCCAAATGGAAAAGAAACACCAGCAGTTAATTCATGAAGACTTCTGAACAGATTGTTTTTCCTTCACCCAAATGAGGATCACTAGGTCAAACCCAGACAAAACTCAAGTCTTTGGTTTGTCTTCTTTATAATCTTAGCCTTTTTTTCCTTCATTCTTCACCCTCCTAGTACTCTCCCAACTCAGTTGACCATTATTTTCCCCTGATCAAACCTGGGAAGAACTTGAGTCCATGTAGGCTTGATTGACTACCTAGTTATATTTTAGCGTGGATGAGTTAAGAGTTGGTTGACTCAAACCCCACTTTAATTTGAAGTCCTTATATTTAATTGTAGCTAGACCAGTTTCTCAGCAAACAAAGCTGTGGCTGCTGGAGTTCTATTCATGGGAACTGTTTGGGAAAGAGAAATCTTCATCAGAAGATTCTTCTAGCATGTGAAGCCTGCCAGATCCCTGGCTCTCACATTGCCCTTAGTCCTTAATCTGCATGAGAACACGCTCCACCACGCCACACACACTTCTCTTAACCAAAAGGGAACCTGCTTCCCTCCATTGTGACCCCAATATTTTAAGATAATTATGCCCAATGCCAGAAAGAAAATCTTATTAGACAATGATGAACACACACTCTGGGAGTCTATAAGATAATGAAACACTTTATTCGTCCTATCAAGATAGTTGGCCATCAGAGTCTAGCTCAGAGGAACACTTGGTAGTCCCTTCCCTGTTTCCCTCTTCTCCAGTCCCACCCACCCCTGGTTCTTTTTATCCGTCAGTCCACTCCGATGTCCTAGTTCCCAATTGGTTTCACCTGGTTTTCTTCTCTTTTTCACAGTTCTCTCCTTCCTAGGCATCCTATAAAATTAACACATCTACAAGTAAAAACATTCCTCATGCTAATATTTACCACACTTAAAGCATAACTGACTCCACGTATTGTGCTAACAAAGTCTTTTTTGTCTTTTTTAATGTCCCTCTCCCTAAAAGTAGAGTAAAAAATGACAGAGATGATGTAATAAGAAAATCCCACCCTGCCACTCTTATTTTATATTTGTGACCTTATGTGATAATATGTTGGCTTGTGTTTAATTATATTTTTATACTATAGCCTATGTATCTTATGTTACTTCAGATAAAGTTAGACAAAATATCAGTGTCATTGGTTATCTCCCTTTTAAATTCTTTCATTATGTTATTCTTTATAGCTCATAATAGAGTGCCCATACTTATAAAATAAAAAGTTAGACAAAATATCAGTGTCATTGGTTATCTCCCTTATAAATTCTTTCATTATGTTATTCTTTATAGCTCATAATAGAGTGCCCATACTTATAAAATAAATTAGAAAACAATTATAAATACCTCCAAGTAATTTTTATAATAGTCCTACAGATTTATCCATATTTAAAAGGCTTTAATACAGAAAAATAGAACCTGTGATTTGCACACATCTTTGAGAGAAATGAACATTTTACGTAATCCAAGTGAAAGCAGTAAACGCTTAGTGATAGAAATAAGAAGGTTTTGGGTGAAGTCAGATCTGAGTTTGAATTCCAACTCTGTCACCTAATAGGGTGTGTAATCTTGGGCAAATTACATAAGTTTTCGAAGCCTAAATTTTACTTTTTAAAAGGTGACAATACTTACTAAACTTTAAGCACTCAATAAATGGAAAATACTGTTATATATACTGCACCATTTTGCTTTTGGAAAGTTTGCAAAACTTGGATTTGCCCAGTTCACATGGGTTTCAGCTTGTTTTGATTTGTACCCAACTGTCTGGAACCTTGTTAACTTACCTAACTGGATCCTTCCTTCAAACTTACTTCAAACTCTGATATGGAGCTATTACTCCTGACTTTATGTATTACCCACCAACCCCAAGATCTGTCTACCATATTGCACTTCTTTAGGAATTGTTGTTGGCCCCAGATCAAGGATTTGGACTGGAAGCCACTCCCTTTGCTTGTCAACCCAATAACCAGATCAGCTGTATCAGTCCCAGTACTATATCCTCCATTGCTCAGCATGCTTTGAGACTACGCACATCTAAGTTAATAGAAAGTGTTTAATAATATCAAAGTAATTCTAAAAATCATTATCTGTTGGAAGGGAACTGACATTTATTGAAGTCCAGCTGAGTGCTAGTAAATGTGCTAGGAGCTAGGTTACATCACTTATCTATTCTAATTCTCATAACAACTCTATGAGGTAGGAATGTTCTGAAAGAAATCTGAAAACATCAAACAATACCAATACACTGGTATTACCCAGTGAAAAATCCTCAATGAAAATTTGTATAAAGATAGTTAATGCAGGGCAATTCTGTCTAGCATTAAGCTGGAAAAAATTGAAACACAGTACTTAACAAATGATTGTTACCCCAAGACTATGGAAAGCTTATTATGTTTATAAAATGTGGACTCTTTATATCTAACTATGTACATAAAAGAAATTTACAAAAAAGTGTTTAAAACAATATAGTTTATAATCATCCAAAGTTATATGTACATGAATGAGACTTGGAAAGGAATCTAGTAGTAAAAGTCAATATTCATTGGGTTCTTTATTCCTAAAAAGTAGTGTGTAACAGAAAAAATCAAAACAAAACAAAAAACCCTAAATTTTTTTAAAAAATCACTATAGAAATATTATTTCCATATAATTATTCACTTATGTCTAATTAGTGAAATACCAGGATGAAGTATAATTGAAAGTATGATAGCATGTCACTTTGCTTAGATACCAGTTTAGTGTGTAGAAGAGGTCTCAACATCTCCTATTAAATCCAGATAAGCCTGATGTTGGAGAACTGATGGGGCACCCTAATAAAAGCCTTTATACATGACACTGCAGGACTCTCCTGGGAGAGAAGTTAGATTAAGTAAGGCAACCTGCTCTAATAAGGCCCATCTGGTAACAGTGGCTGAAGCATCAGGGGAGAAGAGTGGGTCTGAGCCCAGGCTGGTGTACGTCACTCAGATGTATCCTTGATCCCACATCCAACAGGGCTTAGGAGTAGATGGAATGAAAAGATAAACCTTAAGCAGTCTTACTAAACTCTCTAAGGCAGTGGGACACAAATTAGCTACACAAGTAACATATCCCTCCCACAGAGAGTCAAACACAAAAGAAAAAAGAGGCATTCTCCAGGACTTTGCCAAAAATCTTTGGCTATTTGAAAGTGTCACTGCATCAGTAGTGGTACCATTGTGAGGATGTAGTGTCCAAAAANGTTGGAGAACTGATGGGGCACCCTAATAAAAGCCTTTATACATGACACTGCAGGACTCTCCTGGGAGAGAAGTTAGATTAAGTAAGGCAACCTGCTCTAATAAGGCCCATCTGGTAACAGTGGCTGAAGCATCAGGGGAGAAGAGTGGGTCTGAGCCCAGGCTGGTGTATGTCACTCAGATGTATCCTTGATCCCACATCCAACAGGGCTTAGGAGTAGATGGAATGAAAAGATAAACCTTAAGCAGTCTTACTAAACTCTCTAAGGCAGTGGGACACAAATTAGCTACACAAGTAACATATCCCTCCCACAGAGAGTCAAACACAAAAGAAAAAAGAGGCATTCTCCAGGACTTTGCCAAAAATCTTTGGCTATTTGAAAGTGTCACTGCATCAGTAGTGGTACCATTGTGAGGATGTAGTGTCCAAAAATAGCCAGAACTGCAGCAGTGCCTGAGGGAGACATGGCGATATCTGCAGAAGTAGTCACAAGTTGCAAGCAGATGTCACGTGCCAGGCAGCTGACCAGACTTGTTCCTGATAATTAGACACCCCTTGGGAATTCCCAAAACTATATGGAGGAAATGGGGCAGCTTCAAGCCTTGGAAGAGATTTGAATTTTTGCAGGTGGGGCAAAGCCAATGAAATTTAAGTTATTATTATTCTTGTGATCCCACTTGTAATCACAGGTTGATTGACCTTGGGAAATTCTGGGTCACAAGAGAAAATGTAAAGACCTCCTCATTCTAACAAGACGTTAAGGCCTCTGGTGTGTAAATAGGATGTTTGTAAATTGAATCAAAATGTACTTGGGGAGCTTATTCTTTAAAAGTAACCCTAAATAAAATTCTTCTGTAAGGTAAATAATGATCCTTTTAATACCAAAAATAAATACCTACTCCATATCTCATAAATTTGTTTCAAAACAGATATATTGCTAACATTTTGTTTCTTATTAAAAATTATTTAATTGCTATATTCTACAATTTCAGTTGGATTCCATTAATATGGAGTACACTGGGGGAAAGCCCAATGGACATCTACAAATAGTTACGGTAAAGTGACAGGCTACACAAAGGGAGAGAATTAGCAACGATAGCATTGTTACCCATGTTTGAGAGTCACTGAGGGTTGGTTAGATAGTAGGAAGCTGAGAAAGCCAGATTTGTTTACTGTCTGTTTCCTCCAACAGAACACAAGCTCCCTGAGTTCTGGGTCTTTGTTTTGTTCAAGGCTATATTCTCAATACCTAGATAGTGCTTTTACATGGTAGACACTCAATAAATAGTTTCTGAATTAATACAATCAAATCTGTTATGTCTCAGACAGGATAAAAAATTTA